AAAAAAAAAAAAGATGTTCATAGGGAACCTGGTACTAAACCAATTTAAAAAAAAAAATAGTTCTTCTTAGTAATATATGCCATTTATTGAGTACCCACCATTTGTCAGGCATCCTGCTTAGACCTTTAAAGTTTATTAGCTTAATCCTAACAATTTAAGGTGTACTTATTATTTCCTTTCTACAAATGAAGAAACAAACTCAGAAGGATTAAGTGACTAGCCCGAGGTCCCATAGCTACAAAATGGCCCATTTAGTTCAGTGTGACTTCAGAGCCTCATATTTTCTCTTAAAAAACAAAGTGCTGAAATTACAAATACTTTCTTGAGAAGATAGTGTTGTAGTAATCAAACAATTAGTGGAGAAAGAGCTATAACTAAAATGTTTCAGCTTTACTCATTTTATTTTATTTTTATGTTTTTGAAAGATTTTTTTTATTAGAGAGAGAGAAAGAGCACGAGAGTAGGATGAGGGGCAGAGGGAGAAGCAGACTCCCCGCTGAGCAAGGAGCCCGATGCAGGACTCAGTCCCGGGACTCCGGGATCATGACCTGAGCCAAAGGGAGATGCTTAACTGACTGAGCCACCCAGGCACTGCCCCCTGTTTTTTTTATTTTAAAGGTGACACCCAGAATGTTTTAATGAAGAGCATATAAAACATTCTGGTATGCACGTGTCATCCCCAGGAAGGTGGCTTTGAAGAACGAATACTTCTGATTATATACTAAACTGACTAATTTAGGAGACTGATGGAATATGGATGGTAGGACAGATTAATGGAGAGGGATGTTGTAGAGTCACAGAAATACTTGGATTGATTATTTTAGAGTCAGAATGGATTGCAAAGCTCCCAAAGTGTGGGAAGCATCAGCTTCGCTTACTAAGAATTTGGGAAAAGTAGGTGTTATACTACTTATTCACAGACCTACTTGTCAGTTCATTCAACAGATATTTACAGGGTTCCCCCTCATGTGCCAGGCATCAGGTTAGGCAGTGGGGATACAGTAGTGAATACAGCAGAATCCTTATCTTCATGGAGCAGAAGCAGACAGTAAACAATAAGTATGACAGGTCTTGATAAATGCTCTGGATTGGGGAGGGGGTGTCAGATTAGATGGAGTGATCCATGAAGTCCTCTCCCAGGAAGTAACGTTTGAGCAGAACCCTGAGTGATAGGAAGGAGTGAGCCCTGCAGCTTTCTAGAGTCCAGACAGAAGGTAACAGCAAGTGCCAAGACCCAGGCAGGAGTGTGCTCAGAGGATGTAAGGAAGGAAGGAGGCCAGTATGGCTGGATCAGGACAAATGAGGACAGCAATGGTAGTAAAGAGATTTGAGGTGTGCTAGGGATTGGGGAATTTATCCTTGGTATGGTCGTCAACCACGGGAAGGTTTTGAGCAGGAGAGTGACATGTCATTTACGTTTTTCAGCCCTCATTCTGGCTGCTATGTGGGTAACAGACTATAGGAAGGCAAGAGTGGAAGGCTGTTGCAGAGCCCACGTGAAATGTGTTGGTGGCCCGGGCCAGGGTGATGGCCGTTAAGGGTTAAGACATGGTTGGATTCAGATGTATTTTGAGAGTGGATCTTACAGGGTGTGCTGATGAATCAGATGTGAGGTATAAGGAAATGAGAATTCAGGGACTCCAGGGCTTTGGCTTGGGTAGCTGGAAGAATGGAAATGCCACAGGAATAATATTTTATTTTATAAACATGGGCTCTTCCTCCAGATTACCTAGGTTTTAGTTCCTGCTGTGTCTTTGATTTCCTGGGTGACTTTCAGTAAGGTGCTTTAACTGCCTGGATTTGAGTCCCAGCTGTGCTATTAAGTACATTTCTGACCTTGGGCAGGCCACTTTAATTTTATTGTGCCTTAATTTTCTCATCTGTAAAATAGCTATTATAGTAGCATCTACCTCGTATGGTTATTATGAGGGCTAAATGGGTTAAGAATGCAGAGTGCTTAGAACAGTGCCTGGTGCTAAGTAAGTTCTCAGTAAATTCTGACAGAAGTTATTATTATATGAACAGTTATCTGTTTTATTAATGCTACCACTATCCCTAGAACCTTAAGCAATGTTTGGCAGCTGATAGGTGCCCAGATATTTCTTTTGTGAGTAAACAAGGAGACGAATGAACTGATAAATCGCAGCCCTTCCCTTCATAGCACATGCCCCTATGTTCCCTATTTTATTTAAGCCCCTTCAGCCTTCTGGGATTTTTTTCCTCTGACTTTAGTGAGAGTGGGTCCAGCTTGCTGGGTTTTTTTGTTTTTCTTTTTCGCTAAGCAGTTAACTTATTAAGCCATACTTGATGGATATTGACTAAACTTATGGTGGTAATCCATTCATTATATATGCATATATCAAATCATCATATCATACACCTCAAACTTATACATAATGTGTCAATTATATCAATAAAACTGGCAAAAAATGTGTTTTCATTTAAAAAAAAATGAGAAAAAAAAACCAACTCCATACTTCACTTCCACATTTATTTGCAGTTTTATTTTTCTTTTAAAACATATGTAGGTACGTATTGGGGCTTATTCACTCTGTTTCTTTGATAAAACCGTTTGTTTTTTGTGAGGCTGTTTGTTTTCTTGCCACGGAGTGTGCTGCCCTTTATGCTTTCTGTGTTTTAGTGATGAAGGGTTCTAGCAAAGTCTGGCAGTGATTGTTCTCTTAATACTCCTCCTCCTGATTGAGGCTCACATTTCTCTCAGGAAGCCTTGGACAGTACTTAAATGTTAATAAAAGACAATTCTAAGAATTCCTCTTTATTTTTACGTTCTACTACTTTGCGTGCTGTTTGGTTATTTATTCTACTAGTTATTATATGCTTCTTTCTGTTTTCCTGTGATATGGTGAGAGTTTCTTTGATCATAGTTTATGAGGAAATTAGAAGAGTAACAGGGAAAGGTTAAGATTTAAACAATCATGCAGTAGCTTCCAAAGTAGTCGGCTTCCCTGTCCTGCTTTTGTGCTTCTCCCTATTGCCTGGATCTGGTCTCTCAGATTAGGCCAGCTATCTGCTCTTTCTATTCTCCCTGAGATATAGATGTGGAGGGAAAGTGTGAAGATGAAGGTCAAATGTGGTTATAATATTAATAGGAATGTAGATTGTGAATACAGATTGAAAATCTGTTGCTACAGATAAAGAAAAAAACGATCTTAGTTGAAATTTAGATAGTATCTCTATCTTTAAGAGGAGAAAATTGAAGCACATTGGATAGAAGGTCACAGACTATGTTGGATGGGGACTAGAACTTAGTTTTTACATTTCTGGTAAGTAAGTATTCAATTTTTCACTGGAATATTAGATTTTCACTTGGAGTTCATTTGCAGTGGACTGAGATCATCTAAGATTATAACATTAGGAAACGTGAGTTATATAGAAACATTGCCAAGAGTATACAAAAAAATTCCGTTAGTTGATGTTAAAAATAAACTTTTTTTTTTTCTCTTTTGTGATCTGAGTGGTGGTGGGAACAGAGCTTGTTGCTTAAAGTAGTCATGCAGGTAGTAGATTATCCCAGCATCAAAGAGAAGGACTTAAATGTATAACTGATTGGCAACATGAGTGGCTACTGTCCCTTAGATTACAGTGGCCACTCTTGAACTCACAGAGGGTGTTTAAAATTACTTAAGAGTTGCAGGACCCACTGTTGGCATTTATTGTCAAATAGAAGATCACAGATGAGAGGCGTGGGGAGGAATCTACTCTCCTAGCCAACTTTAAGGTAAAAAGCTGAGTTCCCACCTGAACTAATACTGAAACTCTGCCTTCCTCCCAAGGTTGTTGTGAGGATTTAATGATTTTTTTTTTTTTTGGTATGGAAGCAGTTTGCAAATAAAGTGCTCTTTCACATAAGAGGAGCAGCATTTAAAAACTCATTTTCATACTTAAAAATCCTTTATTGGCACTGTTACAAAGAAAATAAGATATTTGATCTATTTCCGATTTTTCATGCATTGTTTGATGGTACTTATTTCTTAATAGCAGTTGTTGTTTCTTTTCCTAGAAGCCAATATGTAACATTACATGTTATTTCATTCTAGGGGGCTCGGGTTGGCAGAATAGATGCTTTTGTTCAGAGCTTGGACAAAAATTTTATGGTTCCGGTAGGTGGCGCTATAATTGCTGGCTTTAATGATTCCTTCATTCAGGAAATCAGCAAGATGTATCCAGGTAAATAAATCAGTTGCTCTACAGAAAAAATAACTAACAAACAAAAATCCATTTGTACTAGGCTACTATAATAAATCTTATTTTCTAAAGGTGTTTTACCCCCTTCCTGAATGTTAACTTTATCTTATTTCAGGAAGAGCTTCAGCTTCACCTTCTTTAGATGTCCTTATTACTTTATTATCACTTGGATCAAATGGCTATAAGAAGCTATTAAAAGAAAGAAAGGTAAGCTTTCCCTTCAGGTGTAAAATAATACCCTTGACTAAAATTATTCCAAATTATTGGTGTTTTTGCCTTTTGGTTTGCCACTTTGAGAGTATAGATAGCTAGTGTGGTCCTAGGGGATTTACTTTGATCTGGAATCACTCCAGTTGGTTTTCAATTAATCATTGTCTCCTGTGTGTTCAGATACTGTGAGGGATCTTGGGCAGGTGAGTTTGCTTTTTTTTTTTTTTTTTTTTTGAGAAACTTCTACATAGAGATTCTTATTAGTTTAGTAAGATTCAGGTCATGTGTCACTTAAAGATAGAGGGTCTTGAGAGACAAACGGACAAGTTTTTCTTTCTGTTTTTGGAAGTCTGAAGACTTGTATAGGTGTGAGATGTCAGTCACAGGAGGAAGAACGGTCAGAAGTTGGTCAGCTTCTCATTCTAAAATAATAAATTCATCCCTTGACATTACTGGAATGCTGAACTCATTGATTATGTTGGCTGTGAAAAGAAATGAAAACTGGACTTTGTCTCCAACACTAAAAACTGGCTTAATTAATTCAGGACAACTCCAAAATTGTAGACAGAGACAGTGTTGGCAGGGTGGGTCAGACTAAAATGTTTTATTCATCTCCCATCTGGGAGAGCTAGAGGCTCCTGGTACAGTTTTTGTATCTGTGTAAGTTTCTAACATTTAGTAGCAATTAAAGTCCCTTAGATTTATAATAGTACTTTATTTTAAGATATTTTACATGTATTATCTGATAGATCCTCTCAACAGCTTTATGAATTTTGTTCCCTAGTTTCCTCTAGTCACCACTCTCCCTCCACCAGTTCAGTCCATAGGAAAGTAATTGCTTACTTTGTGTTATGAGGACATCTCTTAAGATTTACGTGATGTAGGAAAAGAGGCTGAACATCAGTCTTTAGGAAATGCACCTGAAAACCAGGGAGATACCACTACACACCTAGTAGAAGGGCTAATATAAAGAAAACTGACAGTACTGAATGCTGGCAAAGGTCTCAAGCAAGTAGAGAACTCTCAGACATTGCTGGTAAGAACACAAATGGTACAGTAACTTTGGAAAACACTTTTGCAGTTTTCATAAAGTTAAACATATGCTCACCATATAAACTAGCCATTCCACTCCTAGCTATTTATTCAAGGGAAATGAAAATTTATGTCTGTACAAAAACCTATACATGAATGTTTATAGTGATTTTATTCATAATTGCCAAACCCTGGAAACAACTCAAATGCCCAGCATCTGGTGTATAAACAAACTGTGGTACATATATACTCAGCAATAAAAAGGAACAAATTACTGATATAAGCAACAAAATAGTGGCTCTCAAATGCATTATACTAAATGAAATAAGCCAGACTCAAAGGGCTACATATTGTATGGTTTCATTTATATGCCACCCCGGAAAAGGCAAAAAATATCAGGACAGAGAAAAGATCAGTGGTTTCCAGAGTCACGGGTTGAGGGAGGGGACTCATGGGATGGGAAAATGGTCTATATCTTGATAGTGGGAGTAGTTTCATAACTGTATGTTTGTCCAAATTCATGGAAGTGGGCCCCTAAAAACTGGGCCTCTGAAATTTTGCTATATGTAAATTATGCCCCAATAAACCTAACAAAGATTTTCAAATGATTAGAATAAAACTCCAGTTTGATAAACTCCCAAAGGTAATCATCGTGGTCATAGATTGTTGTAGCTAAGAGAAGACCTCAATAAATCCTCCAAGGAACCTTTTTTCCATATGACAGATGAAGCCTGATTATAGATGAGCAAAACTATCATGGGTTTATATTGTTTATATGAGAGTTTAGTTGTATTAGATGTCAGTGGACCTTAGCTCTCCTATAGCTGGTTGTTTCACTGTGGAAAAGATACTTGAACTCACAGATTTTTTTGTCAGGTGTTTCCGTTATCCTCATTTTTACAGGGAATGGAAGGATAGAGAAGTAACATATATGAGGTAAATTGTGGGACATGGGTTTAAAGCTAGGCAATTGGGCCTCTGATCCTCTGTCTTAACCTCTAAACTCTTCTGCTTTTTTCTTACATGGATAAATAGTCTAGCCTGGTAGCTATGTAGTTATCTTATATAGCTATAAATCTGAAGACTTAGGTCCACTAATACCCAAAGGCGGCAAAAACAATGAATAAATTTAGTGATCTTGGCCAAAAAAGCTCAGTTATATATTTTAGAAAGGATATAAGCCATTTGCTTGTGCAGAATCACTATTGTTGGGAACGGCCCCTCCCTGACTCCAGGTGATCCTACTGAGACTATCAATCACAGCCTCCCTTCCTGCTTTGCTCAGAGGAGTGGGCATGTGATCTGGCTAGCGTGGTTCACAGGTGGGCATGTGGAGGTGGAGTCCTTCCAGCAGGTCTGATAGATCCTTTAGAGAGCGAGAGGGTTTGCTGCTTTGCAGATAGTAAACTACTCAGCTGCCATATTTCTGGCCATGCCAAGAAAGCCTTCCTGGGACTCGAGAATATGAGAGGGAAAATGGAACTAAGAGTCATTTGAGTCTCTGGATCCAGCCATGTCTGCTTGTAGACTTGGCTGTGAGATGAACCAACAAATTCCCTTTTCCGTTTTAAACTAGAGTATCTGGGGCACTTGGGTGGCTCAGTCGGTTAAGCGTCTGCCTTCAGCTCAGGTCATGGTCCCAGGGTCCTGGGATCCAGCCCCACGTCGGGCTCCCTGCTCAGCGGGGAGTCTGCTTCTCCCTCTCCCACTCCCCCTGCTTGTGTTCCCTCTCTCACTGTGTCGCTCTCTGTCAAATAAATAAAATCTTAAAAAAAAAAAATAAACTAGATTTCTAACACTGATACTTTTGATTTCTCTTACACCCTTGAGTCCTTTGTAATGTTTCCCAACATTCATTTCCTCCTTTCCACTTCTGCTGCTACCACCCTAACTCCGGCCCTTACCATATCACAGCTGGGTGCTTACAGTAATTGACCAATTCTTCTCCCGAGCCCCAGTCTTAGTCTACTCTAATTTGCTATGTTATAGCAGAGTGCCAGATTAATATTTTAAAGTTCTTCAAGTTATTCTGCTTTGGGTTCTGGTTGCCTGCAAGACAAAGTCCATATTCCTTAGCCTGCCATCATGATCCTTTATAGTCTGGTCTCACATTACTTTGGCAGTATTGGACCTTGCTCTGCTTGTTCATTTATTCAGACAAAGAAATGTTTATGCATAGGCCCTAAAGTAAATTCACAAATGAGACTCACATAGTCTCTACCATCATGGAAATTATAGTCGGGGGAAATCTAGATATTAAATAAACAATTATAAATCTGTTTGGCATTATGAAAGGACAAGCAGAATGTATGGGAGCGTGTAGCACCTAAGCCAGCCAGTTCTGGCAGGGTTGGGGAAGGCCGCCCTGAGGAAGCGACATCTGTTCTACAGAAGTACAACTCGTCCATTTATTAGACTCCTATGGTGTCATCATAAACTAGAAGGGATGACCAAAATCACTGTCGAACTCTTAAAGGGTATTTTAGACTGAGTCTAGAAAGCAAAGTACTATGCCAGTTATTGGAGAGTCTGTTCCAGATCATTTCATCAGATTGGCTTTCCTTTAGCTAAATTCAGAGTCAGGAAGTCTGGAGTGGGGTTCAAACAGCTGCATTTGTGACAAACTTCCCTGATGAATCTGATGCACATCCTAGTTTGAAACCCATTGTTTTGTGGGCACACAGGTCACTTGTATGTGTAACAGAAACTTAGAGAAGAAACAACAATGTCCTAGCATTTTAACACATAGGTAGATAATATTTTATGGAGTTTGAGACAGACTGCATAAATATCCCAAATATCAAAGCTTTAATAATATAACTTGTTAAAAAATAATAATAATATAACTTGTTATCTGATCTTTTCAATTATCCTAGTTATAGTCTTTTCTTATATTGTTGCTGCTCTTTACCTTTCAATGATCCCTCTGCAGATTTTTGGAATATATAATAGCTCTGATAAGACTATGACATAAAGTTTTAAGTTAGACATTTAAAGATTATTCTTTATAATGTAGATAGAAACTTTAAAACTTTTTATATGCTGTTATTATCATACCAAGCAAGTGTACTATTCAGTATTTCCTATTTCTGTTCTTCTTGAATTGAAACTATATATGATAACTAATAATAGTGTATATTTGCTCTAATAAACTACTATAGGTCTGGAGAGTGATTTTGTAGTTAAATTTATTTAACTAGCAAATTAAGCTGATTATCTGAGTGCATGCCCCTCAAAATCACCATCAGGTGTCTGAAATGAAACTTGGTCCTTGCTTATGGGTAGTCTGGGAGACTAGTGTCTTGGAGTGCAACCTTGGAGTTTGCATTCATACCTCTGTTCTTCATGTCCTTTGCTTGATATAGTAGATGCTCATCAGATGTTTGTTGAATGAACTAATGGAAGGTATTTAGTTTAGTTTTGTATAGTCATCTCTTATTTTACACAGAATCTTTCTGGAAAATTAGAAAGCAAATTAACTTTTTGATACTGACTTACATTATGAATTAGATGTTCTCATAGAAATATTTCTCTATATGGTTATAGTTGGAAATTTGTGAAAAGAAGTGAGTTAAAATGGTGATGACCTGTTGTGTATAACAGGTACTATACTTCTGGGAGTAGGTCTTCCTCTCTAGCAGGTAGTCCTCTTCCAAAATAATTTCCTTACCTTAGGATTTAGGACTTGTTGATTTTAGGGGTGCTCTGTTGGAATCTTAAGAATTTCCGTGATGCCATAGTTCTTCTGATTTTTTATATTTAGGTTTTGACTTTAAATTTTTCAGCTACTTTTAGAGGATTCCAGGCTTCATGCATGTGTACATTTTGCTTAGCATGAAAAAGAAAATCCACCTGCTTTGGGAATGACCTGTAGGAATATGTAGCTTAACTGGTAAATAGATCCAGCAGGTAGCCTAGCTTTGCTTCTCATTGGGACTTTGTTCATCATTGTATAAATATTTTATGGGCCAGATTTTATGTTCTAGTGATATTTATGAATTGCATGGCTCCATCTCAGATGTCAAGAGGTAACCTCTCTTTGCAATATCCAGAACTTTGTTCTTTTCCTTTTATCTAGATGGAGTAGAGTAGAATTCACAGGGATAGGACAAGAATAGGATTATAGCTACAGGGTATTAACATGTGTCTGTAAGAGTCCTGCCAGCTAGTGTTAGTTATTATTTTTTAGTTATTTTTTTAAAAGGTTTATTTATTTATTAGAGAGAGAGT